GGGGAGGTGGAATAGCAATTACTTAGTGTGGGCACAGGTGTTGGGTTATTTGAGATTAAATCAGTTTGTTCCGCTGCTAACATCTGAGATATGAACTCACTGCTTAAAAATAGTTTCTGCGCAGAAGAGTTGCATGCCACCGCGGCGTGACTTGAGTTGACGGCATGACATGTTCACTCTATTACTACAATATTTTTAAAATATAAAGTGTTGCTTAGGCTTAGGTTTTAAATTTTAGTAATTCTTAGACTTTCATAATTATTAATATGATTTATGTATCTACCTTCCCTTAGTTAATTTATGAGGATTAAACAGTGTTGCATTAACCGAGCTTGGTTTACGGCATGCAGGCACAAAATTTAGGCGACGTATTTATGGGAAATATTTTGGCTATAAATAGTTTACAGCTGCTTTAATAAAAATATTTAATGGAATAACATATTCTCTGACATCAAAATAATACTGAAGTCTACAGTGCCTTTTTTAAGGAATTTTCACTGGGGGAGCAAAACAGGAAAAAAAGGCCGAACGGAAAATATGAGCCGTCGAGGTTTGACGAACGCGCGAGTCTGAAGAGAGATTTTGTAAAACTTTAATTTATTAACTTCAGCTATATTTTACCTTAAACAATAACTTTAACTCTTTGTAGCTATAATCGTACAGCTATAACCAGTGGCGTAGCCAAACCTTAATTTTGCGGGGGGGGCGAACCGTCTAGGAGGGTCCGTGGTCCGGAAAATTTTGAAATCTAGGGTCCCTGAATTGCGATTTCATGCATTTTGGGGGTGAAATCTAGCGGAATTCCGAAGATTATAAAGTACATCGAAGACATGAATTTTTCCAGACATTTCTACTCGTAATTAAATAAATTGGAAAAGTCGCCTTGAAAAATAGGAGGAGGGGTCAGTATCACCTTATTTCCTCTTTGTGATGATGGGGGAGGGGGGGGGGATCTCAATGTGATTTTGATCAGAAATGTTGCATTTTAATCATTTTAGGTTCTATGAGATACCATTTCCGCATTCTCAAAATTGCGTTGCTTTTTCATACGATACAGAATAAGTCTGAGAAGAAATATTCATGCTATGATGATGCATACATGGATTTAAGAGTCAAAAATCTAAACTAAATCTATTCTTCTTGGAACCATGTCTACAATTGCTTTAACAAGATTTCACAAATCAAGTTCCTCCAGCATATCGTCTTTTCCTCAGTCGAAACGGACTTAATCAGTTTCAGCTTCGAGCATGTAACGTGTACCCCCTCCCCCCGCCAAAAAAAATTCTCTACGGATTTAGCCTTTCTGAGAGAATAGATTTTGTGGCGATTGGAAGGGAGGGGGCTGTTAATATACCTTGATATTTTTAAGAAAACAATTTTGCAATAAAACCTCCCAAAACAAAACACACCACCTCTGCGGAGGAAAGTGCTAGGAAATAGTCGCAAGGCTTGGACAGGCTAGCATTTTATCGGATTGTTTGCATGAAATCTATCGCTATTATGAAATACGGCTCGGTGAAGAACAATATGAATTACACACAAGATGGCTGTGGAGGAGGCTATGGAAGGGCATAATCTCATTATCAAGTAAATCAACTGCAATTCTGACAGCAATCATGAGCAAGTCTGCTTCGCACTTCGGGGGCAGAAATGGCTTTACTGGGGGGAGGAGGATCTTTCACTAGGGGGGGGCATTGCCCTCCCCCCCCAGATATATAGTTACAAAAGGCACTGGTAGTCTAGATAGAAGGAAATGGCCATGCACTACCCCAGGTCAATGGGTTGAAAAAAATGACCATGTATTATCCCAGGCCAATGCTAATTGACCATTTGCGTAATAGACTAAATTTTGAACTAAACAAGTCTAGACAAACTTTCATCACAGCTTGAAAGGACATCACAAAATTAGTAATATTCCAAAGTTTCGTTGCGAAATGTTGTAAAATGCGGAAAATATACCCTTGCGAAATTTGCAATTTTCAGTCATTTTAGATTACAAACGGGAAATTGACAGCCCCAAACCCTTCGAGGCTGTCAATTTCCGGTTTGTAATCTAAAATGACTGAAAATTGCAAATTTCGCAAG